GGTCTCTAGATAGTATTGTCACACCTCTTTCATCACATCACTGTAAGATAGTATGGAAACATATAAATGTAGAGTAAAATGCCATTCTACCTCCCTTAGATGAAGTGGACAGGTATGTATACAGTGTATATACAGTGTATGTATTTACAGTGTCTTGACTATCGTAGTTCAAAGGGTTGTAGCTAGATGAACCTGACTACCACAACATGAGAAAGAAAAGGACAGAAGAGTAAAGCTTCAGGCAACCCCTTTTAAAGACAGCTTTATTATGCTTTTTTGATTTGCAAGTTTATCACTTCCTTCTGGGGGCTGTGTCTACACGCTTCAGTGCTCAACACAGTTTTTTTTTCTCACAGTGCTTTTGTCAGTTGTCCTTTCACTCTTTATATTAACAAAGACTGCAGAAAAATAGGGGACATTTTATGAAGTGAAAATCAAATAGTCCCTCTGTCACACGTCAAACACCGAACACTGCATCTCAATGTATATATTACACAACACTCTTCATTTTCCTTTGAGGCTTGATTCTGGACAGAAAATACTGACTTTTCCCTGTGAAAAGTTCCCCCAGAGGTATTTGACACATACAGCACAAGTGTGACTTTTTTAGAACATGACCATTTTGCCCTGTGCGCAAGAGTGGCTGTGGAAGTCACGAATTAGGGTGGTTCCGCAAAGTGCTTTTAAATTTTTATTTTCAATCTTTCAACACATGTATGCAGTTTGCTAAGACCCTTTTGAAACATCAACATAATCTCTGACTCTTCACACGTATTGCTTTGGTTGTGTCCATGCAAAAACTGTTCGTCAGAGTGGTGACATTGTGTCACATGAAGCATGCATTGAAAATGTCATAATTCTGCCACGCACTCACAGTTTACATGTTACATAGCTGTCACTGACCATGTGAAATCTGAAATTATTAGACTCATGTCATCTGACACAATGCCAGTAGCTCCAAGCTTCGAGTACAGTATCAACCTTGTATCAACCTTTGTTATCGCTAACATAAGCTAAATTTATTTCCCCAGCTAATGCGACAATGAGCAAATTTCTTTAAGAGTTGTATCTATGAGATCAATTATGACCCTAACTGTTGTACTTTATGTTATTTGTTAAAAAGATGTTTGGTTGACATGGTATAGAATTGTCATTTCATTTTGATTCAGAATTCCAAGAAAATAATTCACAAAAATTGAGAAATGAAAATCAACATGTGTAGGATTATTATTTTGAGTTGAAGTTAAAATAATTTTTTTGTCAGGTATCCGTTTTAGATGTAGATAAGCTAGTGATGAAGGCTTTGTCTTTTTCTGAAAAAATCATAATTTGTTATAACAACAGACTAACATTCTTTGTGTGAAAATGTACAATACTGAATTACTAGCGCATCATTTTCTTCAAGATGTTCCAGAATTTCCCCGCGACCCCATTAGGGAATAAGTGGTAACAATAATGGATGGATGGATGGATGGATGGATGGATGGATGGATGGATGGATGGATGGATGGATGGATGGATGGATGGATGGATGGATGGTAGGATGGATGGATGGATGGATGTTCCAGAATTCAAACAGCTAGATGTCATGTGATCGCCAGTTACAGGTTTTCTTCTCTCATTTTTCAGTTTTTCTGATACAAAGATTTTTATTATTTTTTCTGTGTTTCATCTGGCTAGATGATAAACTGCTGTAATGGCATGTATAAAGCATTGCATTATGTCTTTTCTTTGCATCTGTTGTTTTTCATTTGTCCCGCTGTGCCAGTGTAGACAGAGCTGTAGAAAGCTTTCACTGGCATCTCACTGTGGTCAGCCATTCTGAGGAGGATAAACATGCAGACGGCACCCCTGGTGACTTTTAAGGATCAATTTCTTATTATGAGGGACAACTCGAACTGCCGCTTTCTACATTACATCTGTCAATAGCAGCAGGATGGCTTTTGGTGCCTTTGGATTGAGTGTGACACACTGGCAGACGCTTCTTGTGCAGTTCAAATACAACAATAAATAACAGGTAGCAGAAGCGTAGCAGACTTGGAATGAGAAAATTCTTGTTTCCTCTTATCTAATTCTCAGTTCACAGAGAATGAAAGAACAGTCTATGAATGTTCCTAAAAGCTTTTCAACAGCCTCTCTAATATTTTCGGCTTGCTCTGCATTGTTAATGTCTTTCACTGCAGCCCAAGAGGCCTGACACGCAGGATAAACACAAGACTTTCATTTCCAGCCATGGACAGCTCTCTGATCTCACCCGGTCCCCAAATTTATTGCAACTCGTAACCTTTGAACATAGATGGGAAGGAGAGCTTGTGCAGGCGTCCCTCAACTTGACATTTTCTCCATCCATGGAGAATATGCACAACACCTTTAATCTACAGTGTCTGCAAGAAGGGGGACAGCCGGGAGGTGGTTTATTGGTATTACTGTTAAAATGAAGAAAGAAGCAGTAAAACAGAATGCACATCGCTGCTTATCTTGGGTTTAGGTTAACAGATAAGCTTTCTGTTTTAGCACAATTGTGGTTAATTTGAAAACAACAGAACGTAAAGGTTTGATTCCTGAGTTGCTCATTAGTTCTTGTGGAATTTTGCACCAAAAAGGTTCTTGTTTTGTTGCTGCCTTTCTTTTCCTGTTTACAATATATTTAGAAATTACTGTGCAAATGGTAATCTTTCTTTAACAATTATAGAAGAAAAAAACACTGACCGGGACATTTTCAATGCATTTAATCTTGTCTGTGGCACTATATATTAAAAAAGGAAAGATATAATGTCAGTTTTCTATTCCAGCCATGTTTGCTATAACTAAAAATGTAAATTACTTTGCATAGTACTATGTTAACTTGTGTACACTATCTATTTTTATTGAAAACATTCAAATTATTGTGTTCATTTCATGCATATTAGAATCAAAGATAAAACTTTATCTAAACAATCAAATTTTAATCATATGCTTTATCTTAGATGTTTATGAGAAACAGGAGACACAAAATGACTTATACTCTTTTTTAGATGGTCCTTGTAGGTGTTTATTGTTATATCAAATGATAAGTTTTGTTTAATCGCATCATGTAAGCCGACGTTTATCTCCAGGAGAGAATGTATCTAAAAGCAAAATGAGATGCTTATATTTCCAAAATAGAAAGAAAATCCAACTATAGGGTCACAGGAGCAGAACATTTTACTGTAACAACTGTTTGTAGATGGTGCCGGTCGTAAATGTCCCACAGATACAGGAAGACAGCCAGGTCAAAGCGCATTTGTAGTAGTGACCATGCCGTCTGTAGCATGTACCTGAAGAGTCACTCCAAACAAAAACGAGACTCCTTCAAGGCTCATTAGCTGAAAAAGCCATTTGTGGTTTGGGATGTGTGATGAATGTGAATCCGCAGCTGACACTCAGTGTAACTTCAAATCAGCTTTTCTGAGTTACAACTTCAGTTATTTTGTATCGGATTTCTGAACACAAGTCAGCCTCAGAAACTCATCTCAAAATCTTTTTGAAAATGTCAAAAGTTCAACCCATAGAGGAGTCCCAGATGCACGATTGATAACCAAGATAAGTTGCAGAAATAAATATGAGAACTCCAGTCGAACTCACAGGCAATATGTACACAAAATATGACTGGGGCATTAAAAACATGAAATTGAGCCAACAGAGTTTATGAGCTTGGCAGGTGGAACAGCCACAGAAGACCAGAATGCTCAAGCAGCCAATTGTCAGGGTAGACACGCTAAACAGACGCAGATGTGACCTTAAAGCAAAGCAGGCTTGCTAGGTCAGTGGTTAAAAATGTCAGATATTGTAAAGAGCCTGTTTAGAAACACTTAAGCAGAACTAAAAACTTAAGCTGACCATTTTTAAACGTAAACCCAGGAGCCAAATGAGAAACTTCATGGGAGCCTTGGCAAAGAGAATCATCTCCAGACAACACAATGAAATGTGGAAGACTCAGTACAGACTTTTGTACAATTTACTGTTACTATTTTGTTCAGGAAACTTGCTGAAAGTGGGGAAAGCATGCATTCTAAGATACTATCATATCGCAGAGTCTAAGTCTCAAGAAGAAACTGTAAAAAAATATATATATATTTCATTAAACAATCAGGAAAAAATTGAAGTTGCTTCAGGGGCATTTGTGTTGAGTTGAGGGCTTACTAACTGAAAACAGTGGGGAAGCTTCATGGTGGGCTACTGGTTGTCTAGAGGAAGCTGGCTCGGGCAAAGAAAACTGGTATGTAATAAAGCTTCTACCATGAAATCAAAGCAGACAAGGGAAAACAAATTCAGGCTGTATCATTTTTGGGCTTATGTACAATTAGGTGAAGTCCAGCTGTGATGAGAGGCCACCTACCTTCTCCTTTCATTACCTGCACAAAATGTGACATGAAACTACAACTACTGATATATGCAAAGACAACTTGTGCTCCCAGCGAGGACATACTCAACACTCGTAAGACAACATACATTTCCAGTGTAGAAAACGTAATATGTCTCTCATCTCAAAAATGCAAAAAATAAAAGACTGTATATTGAGAGAAACACATGCTCTGCATATGCCAAACAATCTTCTGTTGACTTGGTTGGTCTATAAGCTCATTGTTTGGGGTAATAATATCTCCTGTTTCCCCTTCCTAAATCTTTTAAAGCCATGTAATCATATTTTCCTTATAAACCCGCTTAGTACATTAACAGTAGGATGCAATAAAAAAAAAAAAGATTAATCATGATTATCACATTCTTATCAAGTAGAATTGTTTGATGCAAAAACCCTTATGTGGCGGTCAGGTAGAAAGTGACACACTATTGCCTAATATCATTCATGAATAACATGGCTGTGATTTGTGAATTTCCAAAATCTTGTTTTATTATCCCCCTTCACATATCTGCCTCCGAGCTGTGGGTTTACATGAGGCAAAAATAGGGTAAAATGGTGATGTGAAGTCTTTTGGCATGTGTTCAACTCAGCTGTTTTACAGATAGCGAGCTGGATTTGTCCAAAGAGACACTTAACTTGGCCTTTTCTCACTTTCAAGAGAAGAAAAAAAAGATTTAGATCTCTTCCTTACTATTTCATCCTCCACATTAATCTCTGCAAAAGGTGACAACTAGTAAGACAATGGGAAGAGAAAAATATCACAATGACATCCAAAAAAAAAGACATGAAGGATTTCAGAGTATGCAAGCTATGCCTCTAAGTTAGATTCATTCTAACAAAACACCAACTGCTTCTCTCGGTGTTGACTTTTTGTGTTTGTTAAAACAAACATAATGCGTCATAAATACATTTATCAGATAAAACAAGGTTATTCAGTGTATTTCATAATTAACTGCTTGGATTGTCTAAGTAAACAAATGGGATAAAATGTTTTTTGTAATTTTTGCACACTATGAGACAAAGTATACAAATGGCAAACAATTTAGCTTCATCACAGTGTGACTACTAGACCTACCACAGTCCTAACAAGGCCCCCCACCCCACCCCAGCCCCTCTCTCTCTCTCTCTGCTGGAATCAGCCAGCATCCAGTTTGGCATATCAAACATGGGCATAGAAAGCAGCTGACTAAGAACCAAAATACTGGTGGATTGCAACCCAGAGCTTTCGCGGACCAGCCGATTGTTTATCTTTGTGGTTCTGCTTTGTCATCAGTAGCCCTGCTTTTCAAATCTCCGTCACAAAGGCAACAATAAACTCTGGAAGGCCCCAGGCTCATGGCGTACATTGTGAGAGCCAAGGGGAGGTTTTAGGGGCTATTTCGGCCCCAGCCGGTGCTGTGAAGCTTTTAGTCCAGCATGAGACAGCAAAGGGTGAGCACCCAAGTTTTCACACATTAAAGGTGCTGAAGGGGACCAAAGCCCTCGGGGATACCATCAGCCCAAAGGAACGAACAGTGCCATCATGTTCAAGACCAGCTACCTGCGCGAGGTGCGCAAGGAAAAGTACGAGCGCTCGGACGTCTTCGAGGACGACACGGAGGACTCCGAACACTCGGCGGGCATTTCAGCCATCCAAGGCTGGGAGAGCCTTCAGGAGCTCAACAGCCGCTTCGCCCGGTACATCACCCGGGCACGGGTCCTGGAGCAGCGAAATGCCGTTTTCCGCAAGCAGCTGGAGACGCTGCAGAGGATGGAGGAGGCCAGCGGCCTGGAGGAGGCCTTCACGGAGCAGATTGATGTCAACAGGCAGCGCATCAGAGAGCTATGCTCCGACCGAGCCAAGCTGGAGCGAGAGCTGAAGGAGGCCTGCCGCATGCTGGATGAATTCACCAGCAAGTAAGGGAGTGGGTAATGGCTGACTTTATTTGTGTGTCAAATGTCAAGCTTTTCTCTCAGGGAGGAAAAAAGGAAGAGGAAGAATTCAGCCGAGTTCACAGGGGAGACCAAAAGCCGTCTGGCACTCACTGTCAGATGACATGGACATCAATGACAGACTTTAAGCCCATCAAACATTAGCCTAAGATAGATTGTTCCCCTTGTATATTTTAGACAACTGAAATCAAGTTTTTTTTTGTTTTTTTGTCATTGAGGTGTGCCTGTAACGGCAGCTGGGCAGAGGAGGCGTGGAATCAGCTTTCCATGATATAAAAAAAAAAGTTTTCTGAATTTCACCACACACTATGATTTATGACTCTTTAACATCTGACAAACAGATGTGTTTTCCCTGACTCCTGACTCAGAGACTGTTTAATCTGGTCTTCTCTTAGCTTTACAGTAACACAAAAAAATCTAATATACCTATGTGCTTGATAAGAGGGAATCAGGGCATCATTTTGTGCATGAATTGCCTTCAGATGATTTGTGAGGCATTTGGTAAATATATCTGAATTAACATTAACACCAATATGTTATTTTTCAGATATAAGAATGAATGTGACTATCAAGAAGAGTTGCGAGGGACGCTGGATAATTTGAACAAGGTATTGTAAGAACTGTTTATCAATTTATCTAAACTAAATGTCATAAATAACACATTCTTTGTTAGAATAAGGTAGCACATATAAAGATCTGGTCCTTTTATTATTTTAGACATCCAAAAATAAACGACTATAAGCATTCTGCCTAAAATGAGAATTTCAATTTGGAGATTACACTAAAAATAAATAAACACTTCCAAATATAGAAGAGCTTAGAGTGAATTATGTTTTATTTTATGACCAAGTCCTGCCCCTCCATTGTTCTATGGCTTTTATTGAAATCAAAACACAAGTTTACTTTGTACCTTTTACTGTTTACTCTTGGGTCCCTAAATGCACTTGTCCTCATGTCTGTCCCCTCCTTTCCTCTTTCAGGAAGCGGACAATGCTCTCCTGGGAAACCTCGAGTATCAGATCCAGTCTCAGTTCCTGCAGGATGACATCAATTCCACCAGAGACAGGCATAAGAAGGTAAGTAAAACAAATGCAGATTAGTCATACGTGGAGGAAAAAAGGTTCCGTTGAGGTTAATATAAAAATGGTCTAAACAAACATAAATATTTGTCATTTCATTCCATATGTTAGTTGGGGATAAAACTTTCTCACAGTTTAAAACGCTGCTGTCGTGATAAAAATAGTGTTTAAAGACATAAGGTTAGAAGATATTTTCTTCAAGTTAGCACTATATATTTGTGATTTCATTTTCATTTCACATTCCTTACCAAAGATGTGTGGTCAGGAATATAAAATGGAAATGACTCAACATGTGCTATCAACAATACTTTTTTTTCAGTGAGAGATTAAAAAGGTTCACATTCTTTATCAGTGACACTTCTGAAGGACTTTCCCATATTTTTTCCACATTTCTTTTATCTCTGGTAGTTCATTGGTTAGCTCATTCTGGGCCTGTATATCCAGTGCGTATCGAAGAATAGCACTTCAAAGAGCTGTAGATAATGCTGTGCGGTTCAGCTGACCTCAGGCCAGTATCTGTCTAAATCAAAAGGGTTAAAGTCTGAAAATGGGTGCCAAAGGATATGCTGTGATGCTTCTGGGGCTTTAGCAACAATTCACTTTGTGAAGTGCGAGTGGAGAAAAGCATTGCATAGTAAGTGTAACACTGATCATCACAGGCTATGACATGTGGCAAAACAACTAAAAGGGTGGACAAAAACTGAGAGATTATCCTCTGTACAGTAATAACTGCTGCTAGAAGGTATGAAAAATGGCTGTAGAAATGCTGTAGTAAATAAGATCAAAATGTCCAAATATCAGGGATGCTTTCAGTAGTATTTCAAGCCAAATAAATTCCTCTCTTTTTATTTTCACACTATCAACAATATTTGGTACAATATCAAAGGGCACTGCAATCACTGTATTATAAGGAAAAGATTAGGGCTCATATTACATAAATATAGGGCTTGTGGTCTTCACCTTTGAAGTACAAAAGAAGAAAAAGCTCCACTTTGTATCAATGTTACATCACACTGATACTTGATTTGAAAAGAGACATTTTTCTACAAAGAAGTATTGTATCATATATTAAATCCTTTTTCTTACATTTTATGTAATTCATCTACAATGGGAACACTGAAGTAGATTTTGAAGGACTTACTGTGAGGAAAGTTTTATCCTGCAAAATAAACAAGTTTGGTCTGTATTTGCATTCAGTAAGTCACTTTTTTATATTTATATATATTCCTCTTCACAGAACCTTGCAGAGATCCAAACCTATGTAAACATTTTGCAGCAAATCAACCAGACACTTCCACTTGTTCCCAATGTGTCAGTTGGCATCTCTGAGGTGAGGTCACTAATGTTGTCATCATGTCTGTGTGTGTGTGTGTGCTTGTGTTTGTGCAACTCTCCCTGAGGGAGAAGATGGTGTTTGCGTGTGTGTCAGCCCTGCTACGTCTCTGAGGTTGATAAGGTTACTGGCTTCTCTGTCTAACTGGTTGCCTGTTCCTGCATTTTGGAAACGTGTGTGTGTACGTGAGCGGTAGGGACAGACAAAAAGTTGGCCGTTCATCAAAAAAACATACAAAGGGCATAAGTTTGAAACTGTCATGGCTCATGATTAAGCAAATATTGTCTAAAGTGGCTGTGCATGCTAATTTCTAAGTAACTGCCAGTGTCTGGTGTTTGTGTGGTAGATTAGAAATGTATTTGTTTAAACATGTCCTACAGGCTGAGCTGCTTTAAATGCAAATATGGTTTAATGAGTTGAGTTAGGTCTTCATTGCAAATGACAGAGAGCTGTAAATCAGGGAGAATGGAGGAATGCTTAAGAGTGCCAACATTTACAGTTTACGTTTTTACTTGAGTGGTTCACAGCTCTACAGCTCCTTGTGACATTGCGAGGGGATTTTCTCTATGTTTAATTTGGAACGAAGGTTTAGAATTATGCAGGATTCAGAATTTCACTACCTGATATGCAGAGATCAGGTTTATAATCCCTTATTTACTTTCCGGCCCAAAAAACAAGAATTGGTGACAACTACAGAGCAAGCTTCAGGCACCATAGCTCAAGTTCAAAAACCAGTGAGGGACATTGTGGCTTGTATTAATCTTTTCTATTCAGTGTATGGGTTCCAACAAATGTTTCAGTCGGTAACTTTATTGACTACAAATTAAAATCGATTATTAAAATGTCATCCTTCTTTCACCTCAATTAAGTTTTCATGGACTCTTTAGAAGAGACGAAAAACAGGACTAATTTTTTAATTGTAGGGTTCACATCCTCTGCGGATTTGACATTTCATAAAATGCACTTTTTTGAAAATAATTTATTTTTCAAAACATCAGACTCAGGGTAATAAGATCATCACATTTTCCAAATGTTAAAATGGTAAATCTTAAATGTTAAATGCTACTATGTAGGGCTAACTGAAATGTTATATGCCATGACCGCAGAACAGTACATTATTTACCAAAATACATTTTAGCATTCCCCATTAATCATGTAACTCATGGGAAGTAGAACATACAGATACAGAAAGTATTTAGTTCAGGGCATTATTTTACCAATATTGCTACCAGCTAATGAATGATTCATAAGTTGCTATTCGTGTGTCATGAAGGGTTACAATTATGTTGTTAAAACACACAACTGTTCCCATTATGCTAATCCTTTGCACCAAATATTTAAAGGAGCAAGAGAGGCTGCTGGCTGAGAGGAAAGTGCCGGGGCTTAAAAGTCAGCTGGAGGAATTCAAGAGCGCCCTCTGTCAGCTGCAAGCTCAGAAGCAACGCCTACAGAATGAAGTAAGTCACCATGACAACACTAAGGTTTACTCAACATGTCTCCTCACATGTTAAAACCAACCCGTGATATTTACTCTAGGATAGGTTAAATATGATTTCTCAAAAATAACTAGAGTGTGTTTGTGCTACAAGAAAGTGTTTGTAGCGTGCCTATGCAATAGGTTTACAGGTTAAGATGTCTGAGTCCTGCTTTTGAAACATAAGCCCAGCCCATAAAAGTATCCACATTTTCAAAGGTTATATTTATATTCAAAATGCTATATCTATTTTTTTTAATTAAATGATCACTTCAATTATCACCATGTCATAACTTTTTTCTATTGTCTAATAAAATTCATTATCATCAGTTGACATATTTAGAAATAAATATGTGAACTTATCACTGTAACCCTGTTCCAAATATTACTATTGAGATAAAAAAAAAGAACAACATTTTTTCTAAATATTTTCAGATATTTTCGGTTGGCAAATTATTTTCAGTGTAACTTACTTGTTTTTTTTCTGTTGCATGAATTGCACTGTGAATGAAAACTTATTGTATAAATAACAAGACGCTGCACTGTGATTCTACCACTAGATGTCAGCGTGTTATTACAACTATGGGTTATTAAAAGCTACTGTGTTCCAGTCACAAGGAAAAATACAAGACTAGATCGGAATAGTTAGAAATAATAAATAAAAAAAAAGATTTGTTGGGGCAAAGTCACATTTGGATTGAAGTTTCTTTTCTTTTTCCATGCTTTCTCAGGAAGATATGGTTTCATTTTGTACACTTTCATAGCATTAACGATTAAATGAAAATAGCCTCTTAAATTGGACGCTTGATTTCTTTGTATGTGTCTCACACAGCAATTTCTTAATCACCGTTTGTTCTCTCTTCAGACTGCAATGCTGGAGCAAGCCATCAAAAATACACAAGATAGTTATGACAATGAAATCCAGATGTACAATGAAAAAATTGAATCGCTGCGAAAGGACATTGAGGAAGCTGAGAGGTCTTTGGAGAATTACACCAGTGAATGTCGCCACCTTGCCATGTATGAGACATCTCTTGAGAATGAACTAGAGAGGTACAAGAGGATCATTGAAAATGAAGACAACAGGTAAATCGCTTCATTCAGGTCTCTGACAATCACACAAAAGACAGTGACAGTCTAACTTTTACTATAAGCTTTGATGATTTTTAACAAAAGTGTATCAAATTGAAATGTATCAATTCAATATAAAACATATTGCCATTATCTATTATACAAAACGATCTATTTAATATACATTCTCTGATTACAATATATAAAATATAACTCTAAATGTATCGCATAATCTGGCTGGCTTCAACTAAAAAAATCAGCCTGAAAACAGAATAAAATAATGACAGATTTATATGAATAGAATATATGAGAATATCGGTAATAAATATTTATGACAAACCTGATAGACCTCCAATATCACATTTATAGTCTGGAAACATTGACCCTGTGAAATGTTTTGTGTCCAAAATGCAGTGTGGTTTATAACTAGTTTCTTTTCATTTTTAAGAATAATTTAACTATCTTGTTTTAATTTGATTTAAACTAGTGTACTTAGGTTTTTAAAATTCTCACATTCATAGGTTGCTTACAAATAGTAATGGTCTGCTAGCTTAAAATGGCTTAGAAAAACTGTAATTGGACATCATGAACCAGGCAGCAGATGGCACTGTGCGGCAACAAATAGTTGCTCCTCAAGGCACACCTGCAATTTCTTTCAGTCAAAGAGAAACTGCATATGGTTTATGTCATTTCTTAATTTTAGAACATATTAATCATTGGTTTTCTTATTTCCCTGCTTATAAAAGATGTTGATTGCATTGCTGATGAATGAGTGACATTTCATTTCTTTCTTTCCTGCAGGCTGAATTCTGCAATAATTGGTACTCCCATTACCCTGTTCACAACTAATTACCGCTACACTCACACACCTACAGCCTCAAGCAAGGGGAGGGGTAAGGATCCCTTCAATACTTTACAGATGGTTTATTTACTTGCTATAGTTCACAGTTACTACAATCTAAAAGATGTTTCGAATTGTAACATTAACAAAGTAATGTATTATGTCTTAGTTTATGAGTAACAACTAGACTTGACTGTTTTTTGTATCCAGACATAACCCAGGCTATCCAAGATATCACAAGCATTAAGCCGCGCCAGAAGATACTGGCCAAAAAGGTCATGAAGAAGAAAGAGCTGACTGCAAAAGATGTAATTGAAGGCGTTCAGGAGGAGAGAAATGACAGAGCCAGTGGAGAGGCCGGAGATGAAGAAACGAGGGGAGCCCCATCTGTTGAAGTGCAGGAGGAGGCAGTGAAGAGAAAAGAGCAGAGACCTCTTCACACCGGAGTTTCTCCACAAGACGTCCCAGATGGAGCTCAGATTAGCAAGGCCTTTGACACTCTGTGTAACATTGTCAGAGACAGAATGAGAAAGTACAAGAGGCCTGAGCCCATCGCCGATTTCTACACCAAGGGCCGTTATGTCCTTGTAAGCGGTGATGGCAGCTACCTGGATCCCTGCTTCTACACCTCCACACCCTCAGCTGGCCACATCTTTGTCACAATCAGAGATGGAATAAGATGGCCATATGAGCCTTATGAACCATACACACCATCTCCTCCACTCCCTCAGCCTATAATAGACCCAAGGCCTCCCAGTCCCGGCCATCCTGGAGATGCAGGAGGAAAGGACAACAACAAGGGCTCAAGAGGAAAAGACAGTGACCCGAGGCCAAAAAATTCTACCCCCGTCCTTCCACCACCTGGCCCAAGCTCCCATGACCCCACTCCTGGTGCCACTAAGCCCAAGAAAAACAAAGATGATAATGGCCCAAGTGGGCCAACTCCAAAGTCCGCACCCCGTGGGGCTAGCACCAGTTCCTGCACGAGCACCACCGGTTACAGCAGCTTCACCCCTGACGCAATGAGCTATGAGAAGGTGGAGCTCGTGGAGTCTGTGGAGAAGATCTCCAGCGATCGCAAAGTTAAAGGTTATGAGGAGACCTCAATGATTGTGGAAACCATGATTGAAAAGTCCAGCAAGAAGAAACACTGAAACCACGACAGCACAGTCCTACATGTTTAACCCGCGGTTTAAACACTCGAGGTTTCGTCTCTTAAGAAGACCAACCATGCTTAAAGACCAACAACACATTCCTGCTCTGAGATTCATAGTTCTTCCATCACTTGCAGTCTCTGGTCTTGTGTCCAGAAAAACCTTTGCTGGCTCTAGTCTTGCTGTTGTTATCCAGCTTACACCAATGCTCATGCTGTGAGTCCTTTACTGTCTGAAAACTTGGGAAAATAACATATAAAAGCTTTAGCCACCAGTAAAAAAAGAAAAGAGAAAGAAAATATAACGCTAAGAAAAAAAAATTGGAAGTTGTGCCACCCTTAGAACTCCAACGTTCCCCTTTAAGCTAATTTGTTCAATTGGATGCCATTGCCTGCCCTTAACACAATTTTGCTGTGTATAAATTTGCTTTGATAATGAATGATAATAAAATTCTCAAACACAGACTCATCTCATGCACTTTTTGGTTTTACTTGTGGACTATTAAATATATACATGGACCACAAAGGAAAGAATTTTGTAAGTACCCCTTACAATTCACCAAATTTCATTTATAGAGCCCATATTGGCCCATTTTTATGAATTAAGAACTGTGATTCAGCAAATATTGCACTGCACAATAAACGGCACCTCTTCGTCTGGGGTGACACGCCAAATTTTTGCTCTCCTCTCTGAAGTGCCCTTCCGCTCTGATTGATCAGCTGACAGGTCACAAAACGGTAGTGTGGACAGCAGCTCTTTATGTGTGTGAAAGGTGTACCAGGAGAACTCCAGTAGCAGTACACAGAGTACACCAGGAGGAGGGCATAATGGAAAATCTAGAAGAAGAGAGCACATTAATCAAGGGTCGGTTAAAGCAGCTGAGCCATTTTTAAAGACCAGCCATCCTCATAATGCTCTGAATTCAGAGGAATGGAATCAAGTTATTAACTAAAGTACATCTAACACAGAGACACTTAGTGAGACTGTGAGACAAAATATAAAGACTGTCTATCACTTCTAACTCTCTCAGTGGGAAGCCATCATACATGAAAGTGTGGCTCAATTGAATGGACTGACACTGCTTTTATCATGCTGATGTTTTAAAAATCCAGAGTTCTTCGGACCATAACTGCTTTATCTGGGCCTTTTCAGTACAATTTGGTTCTGACTACCATGTTTACATGCATTTCAGGAGTCTTGGTTTGGTCAGAATGAGAAAAGAAATTCCTGCTGGTCAAAACGCTCTCTACATTTAGCATGGATCATGAAAGACTATTATGTGGATAGGAAGGAAATGCAATCATGAACGTAGTACAAGTGCCTTTACTTATCAGGAGCACAACAAAGTTTGTCACAGCAAATAATGGCGTACAGCAAGCATTTGTAAATCTGTCAGAGCAATCTTCAACCCCTACACCTTTTTAACCGCATCTAGTGGTGTGTAGTAGCAGTAGAAGAAACGACAGGACACAGCTACAGCTATATCCTTAAAAAGGTAGAGGACGGCACAAAGACAAGTCGATTTCAAAATGATGAAAAAATCATTTTAAAAAAACAATAATGAAAATGATCCAATTTATTGATTCATCTGGTGCACAGAATTCTATATAATTCCACCCCATCTAATAATTTTACTAACATCAACTCAGGGGCAACATGAACATGCCATGAAAACCACTTCTTGCTCAAATAAATGATTATATTCAGTTGAAGTCATGGTTTTAGCTGTCGGGTGAATCTAATAACTTTTTCAATTTCCCCTGATCTCCATACATATTACTACAGTCTGATGTTTGCTGTCTGTTGATGCTCCTCTGTGACAAGTTTGAGATATGTGTGATATGTTTTATAATGATCAGATTGTCATACTATTATACTATTATACTATTGTTTAAGATAGAACAGCAACATTTTTGCTAAAAGGTATATTCTCTATGTCTCCTTTGGATATTATTAATGAGGAATGGGCTGCATGGGCTTCTGCTGCATGTGCTCCACTTTTTCAGAATACAATTTTAACCTGTTAATAATTTTAGCTTGCATTCTCGGCCTCATTCTTTCTCTAGGCCTTCCTTTTTCAAGTTTTTTGAGCTCTCGGATGACAGAGAGACTTTCCTCTGTTTTGATATGTTCACAATCACTCATAAACTTAAACAGCTGAATAGATTTATTGTAGTATTATTCAAAGATCATGAAATCTAAACTGATGACCACATGCTATAAAGTAAAATGCTTATATAAACAGTGCATTTCACAAAAATATAAACCGAAAGAAATATCAATGCTCTGTTTGCAAGATATTAAACTTTAAGTAGAATGGCACAGAAAATCATTTACAATCACAAACTGTACAACATTTGGCAACGGATAGGTGCAGGGCAGTAAAAGCAAGAGCATGAAAGAGTGGCTTCTATTTGGTTTATGTACAATTTCATAGAGTGTAAAAATTCTGGTGATTTCATTTTCGATTTAGAGCAGATTATTGAGGGCTACACTTTTTATTGTGATCCTTACAAGAAACATTCATCGCAGGAGCCTAATTGAAACTTGATAACATAAAGCAGAGAAAATACTGAAGGAGAGGGAGACACAACATATGTGACACTGAGAGGAACAAAGAAATCGTAGTGAAATTCAGAGTGGGACATAGTAAGACTGCAGAGAGGGTAACAAGAGAAAGTGAGAGAGCTGGAAACATGCACATGATATTTTAATTATTTTTACTCAGTAAACTCTTCAGACTTCTCTCTACAGCTTCATCCAGCTCCTCCTCTAGCTCCTCCTTTTTGGACATGGCAAGTTTGGACTGATAATCACGCACAATCTGTTCTATGTAAGGGGCACTTTGTGTTCCGTGCAGCATGAGAGTCCACTCCTTCAGGACTCCCCGCTGTGGCTCTTCACCCTGAAAGCCTACCTCCAGGACCCAGGTCCCACGGGGGTCTTCCCCCCAGGTGTGGGTGGTCATGAAGGGCCACTTGTCAAAGCCCACTTTGGAATCATCATCACGAGGCCGTTGGCTCAGCAGTATGGACTTTGTGCCCATAGGTGAGGTCATGTTGATGTTGAGGTCTCCGCGGCGGCTGGCGTTGACAGTGACCACAGCCTGAACGTGCTCCAGGTAGCGGACAAAGTTGTCCTTCCCCTGACAGGCTTCTGTGGTGATAGCCAGCACTAGCTTGTTTCCAGACTGGATTTTACTGGGGAAGAAGAACAGGAATAATCAGGTTCAATCTCCAGCTCAGAGAATTAGCAAAAAATAAAAATACAAGTCTGTTCTGAAGTGTAACACATAATTATAATTCCTGTTATGTGTTCTCCGACTTTGGGTTCGGAGCTCAAATGTATAGCCCAAAACTAATTCAATACAATTTGTCCATACTAATTAACCTCTCCCTCCAGCTTCCACGCATGGATTTGTGTCATTATCCTTATTAGTTTGTGAATACTCAGAAAGATATCTTTAAAAGTCGTACTGTTTTTACATTAATATTGTTAATTCAAAAGACTACTTCAACACGGTGAAAACGGAACACATTGCAGTGCAACACTTTACTGCCAACTAAACTGTTGTCTATATCTGTGAGACAGTGTGCCGTGTTTCGCCAACAGTGTCCGTCTAAACCTCAGAAACTAAAAGGTCTCGATGTTTTTTTATTAATTTTCTGTCACAGAGAAGAGATTAAAATGAAAGCAGGTTTCAACATTGTAGTTGTTCTGTGATTTGGAAGACATACTGTTTTCCCATCTCTTTGGGTGATAGGAGGACAGAGTGTAAGAACAGCAGGGCAGAGGTGGTCGCCGAAGGCAGTGAAGAGGTTTAACAACGTTAATAGGAACTGAGGCCAAACCACAGGTGGTGCGGAGTGAAGAAAACAAGTAACAAAGGGTAGGAACAAAAACAGAATAAAGCGATATGTGGAACTACGTAATATGAAAAAGAAAAACTGAGTAATGTGCTGTGAAGAGTGAGATGTGAGAGGTAAACTACCATTCCCAGAGAAAAGGCATCATATTTTTAGAATTAAGACAAAATTAAAAACTAAAACATATGCCTCACTGATGGCATATATAACTCAACAACATGTAATTTCTGTCTATTTTCCTGAAAAAATATTTTCGTTTTAGACAAAGAAATGCAGGATCTGACATGTATGACTCAGTTGGAAAGCGTCCATTATTGCTTTGTGTGATTTTCTTCTTAGATGGTGGCTGTGATACTGCTGTTTCGACAGACAGACGGATGATTCAACACTTTCTACCAGAGGAAAGTCTTACAATTTGTGTTCTTCTTGTCAGATAGTTATTCATTTAAGTCGTTGTAGAGGTGTTGGCCTTTATATTTTCAAGTTTTTCACATAGCAGGGCAAAATAATATTTATTTGATGACTCATAGTATACATGCTAATTTTGTTCAGATAAACAGCGAGATAACAGTGGATTTGCTGATTTGAATCATGGCCTAACTAGCCTAAGGATGATGATCAAACAGTAGTGGGTCTTGGAAAGAGTTAACTTTTTCTTTATTGGACCAACAACAATTTTTTCTCATAATTTTGATTGATTGGATTAACAAATCTTTACTGACTGAGGTTTTTCTGCATAAATGCCTTGACGTTCAAACTGAAGCTTTCTCAGATTTTGCTGTGTTCATGTGTATGTATATCTATGATGGACTGTGACTGTGAGTATGAACGAATGTAGAACAGAAAATGTCTAGGTCATAGTGTCCCCCGAAAATGAATTTGTGAGCAGAGAATGCACCTTTCCCATCAAATAATATGCAAGGGTAATTACAGCAGTTGGTCATGGACAGATGAGAGATCAGCATCTGAAGGGCAGGACATGTGGGGGCTGAAAACAACCCCACTGAACAACAGGACACTGTGTGCCAGTTACACTGATAATGAGAAGTTCTCCTCTCGCTAAATAAGCTGCTAGCAGTCAGAGCAGCTATCAGATCAGTGCTGAGCAGTGTTTGTGACCATGTGTATGTTGGTGTTTATTGCTTTTCTCTGATGATCACTATCATCAGAGGTGGGCTTGTTGTAATTATGGCTCTACCACAATAGAGGCAGCAGGAGCCCCGCAGTGCTTCTGTAGAAACAGGGAACAAATGAAAAATATGACACATCCAGCAACACAGCTTTTAGCACAGGGCTCAAAGCCTGTAAGAGCTGGCTGTATCTATTGGTAACTTCCATAAACACTGCATCAGTGAGATGTTATGTTGAGGTAATAATGGTTTCTTCATGTCTGAGCAAAAAGCTCAGAGCCGCTTTCTTCCTCTGAACCCTAAATCATCAGGGGATGCTTAATCTCATAAACCTTCTGCATGAGAAACTATGTCCTCTCCATTGTAAGTTTTTAATAAAAGCTCTGTGATGTTCCTTTTTTTAAATCTGACCGTGCACCCAAGCGAGTAAAAAACAAACAAACACAGGCACACATTCACAACATGCTGTGGTGACTTCATAGTTGGCATAGCAGAAATCAGACTAAAAAACAATGCTATTCTAACTTCCTCCACACTGACAGTTTCCATGCCAAATTAGGAGTTTTCATTAGAACAGGTAGCCACAGGAAACCACCAGGCTTCACAAACCAACGCTTAGGGTGTCAGGATATTTCAGATAAATGGATACCAGAGGCCTCATGTATGGTGGAAGTGAAGAAGAAAAATTGGAAATTAAACGAAAAAAAGAGGAAAGAAGGGTAGAAGTATCCTGGAAAGGAGAGAGCAGGCCAGCAGGAGGAGTTGCTTGGATGGTGTAGGGAGTGTTGTGATGCAATGGGTAGATACTAAGATGACATGAGGAGGGTGAAAGATAACATCTTAACAACAGTTTCATATAAGAATGTAAGGACAGAGACTAATGATTGTCTGCGATGAACTGGCCAGTCTGCAACATTATCAAAAAGCCTTGCGGCGTAATTCAGGGTTCGATCAGAAATCTGAGCGAAAAGGTCTGATAACATTTTCCTTCACAGACAATTTCCTGACAACATTTCTTCATCTTCATGGAAAACTATGGGGTGAGGAATGCCTGAACCTGAATCACCAGTTTTTTCTTCCCCTTTCTGCATTGTGTTAAAAATTAAAACATATGTGTACAAGGCCAAAAAAACCCCAAGGCCCAAATGCAACACTGAGGGTTTTTTTTCCTTCAGTGCTCCAAAATATCTTAAATAGCTTAACTGCTGTGAAGGCTTTGCTTGAGTTACATTTTAACAAAGCAAATGAGCTGCATACCTGTCAGATCATTTATTATACACACATTCTCAGTCATCAATGTCATCACAATCCCTAAGTAAAGGTAACTGGACTTCTTACTTAAGCATTTTGGATTATTTAGTACCCCTTCAACAAAGATTGATCAGATGCTTCACAGTATTCGCTTTTATTCTGACAAAGCAGCTGATAAATCTGAGCAGTCTGGCCCTGAGATGAACACCTGAGAGAGGCGAGCTGAAACCATCAAACATTCAGTATTAAATTTCTTTAGAACCTTAAACATGTAAGTGGAACATGGAACTTGTGAAAAACTCCAACCTGAAGAAGAGCTATGTTATAAAATTAAAATTTTGTTTATTATTTACCAATTTTTAAGGATTGTTTACACAAATTATTTTTATTTTTCCTGCTTTGTGTTTTCTAGATTTTGATTAATAATGTATCACTTAGCGAGGTATCACATTTTTAACACTATTTTTTTAACACTATTATGTGATAACTCCATCTTTATGTGCAATAACTGACAACAGCATAATGCACCTGGATCAGAATCAGGCTACAATGAAGTGAAGTAAAGATGGGCAGGACTGAAAAATAAATTGTAGATGGGGTTTACAGTTTTAAGCACTAAAAGATATCAGCAGGATAAATATTATCTCTTTTACTAAAAGACTTGGCTTTTCTAACATGCACTAACTTTCAAGACATAATATCTAAAAGATCATCATACAGCAGCTAATTTAAATATCAGTTTTAAGAGGACACTCCCATCACAGATGTTTTATTGAGTTAAGCCCCATTAGGATAACCCAGTAATTAGATCAGTATGTTTCATGTGCTCAGCAGGGTTTTCATTTCAAAATCTTTGAGAGGGCATTTGGAATTTGAATAGTATGCCACGTGCCCAAGCACTCAAAATTTTTAGTATTCATAAAACTACAGTTTGAACAAATATGACTCACTGTGCTTCCTGAATGGATCCAGCTACGCAGTGGAAACGCTCAGGCACAGTTTTCCATTCCTTGGCCATTTTCACCATGCTCCCAGCATCTAGCACGCCATAGCCGAACAGATGGTTGAACTCAAGGCCAACACCATTTCTCCTCCACTGATGGACTTCATCATGAAGTTGATTCCGCTTTGAGGTCAGGACTGACAGGTGCTGCATGTCCCTCCATGTCAGGTTAGGGCTGGGATGGACAAATGGGCACAGGAAAGGTAGAGGATAAACATTGAATTTGGTATTCAAATCACAAAAAACAATTTTAAGGCAAGATAGAAATAGTAAAAAAGTTAAAAGAACAGTTTACACTGAGAAGCATTTCTGGTCCTTTTTTTTCTACCATTCTAAGTTTTCATTTATCAAAACATGAGGCAGATGGTTGGCCCTGTTTGTGTCTCCCTCTATTTTGTGGCTGTGTGGGGTGACAGCTTAGTTCTGGCTGACTCACTGGCTCCTGCTGTTGTGCGGTTCAAGTGTGTTTGGGTAGTAAAAGAGGCTTGTGGGTTATTTGCTGCCGGACAGGGTGAGCATCCGGTCCTCACAACAGCAACATCATTATTGTGTGTGCTATGCAAACAGTGTTTCTTTACTCAACTCCAGGAGCTGGTGTTGGTTAATGGCTGGAGAATCTTGTCAGCTGTTAATGTGAGAAATGAAGCACCAAGAGAGAAAAAAAAGCTTTCCTTCCATCTTTGAGAGGCTGTAATGCTCCAGGTTTTTAGATTTGTCATATTTGCCTAATTGTGTGTGGGTGGGTTTACTTCCAAGCGAGTGGAAATCTCTTTAGAATGATCATCAAATTAATCCCAAGTTGTTTTCGACTGCTCTCGGTTTTATCATAAAGTATAGCTTCCCTGCTTCAAGTTGAATGGAAGTTCTGTAATAAATAAAACATAAATGCTGAGAGTTCTTGAAAGGACTAGGAATTTGATGTTTTTTACCCTTATGCTGTGGAGGAAAATCACTCATACCAATATGATTAGCATTCTAGGTAAAGTGTCTTCATTCTAAGAGCAGTTTTACTTTGATATGACATACAATTGTGATAAATAAGCAATTTTGTGAGTGGAGCAACTCTGTTAAAAATGAAAATATGATTTGCATCTTTCTTCAGTTCAGACAATTAGGCACACATTTTAACTAAATATGTGTTTAGATTGACATATGAAGTCAAAAACATTGTATAAAAACCTTAAGACTTTTCTTAAAAAAACTGGCAACAGATACACAATACACCTGCTTACTGGCCCCTCTGTTGAAAAGATCTATTTCTGTTTTATGTCGACAGTCCACCTAAATTAATAATCACAGTCTGTGAACATCTACTGAAGGAGCTGTGGAATACATACTTTGCCTCTAGAGCCAGAGCAAAAACTCCTGCTGCCTCTGGAGCTGCAGCTGATGTTCCAGAGTGACGGAGAGTGCAGTTCCCATACAAGTCTGTAGTTGCCTGAAATGGCCAAATGATAAAACCTTTTTTTAAATAAGTCCTTGCAATGAAAAATACAAAAATATTACTATCCCATTGTATCATAGAGTATTATGTATGTTATGTTACAATCTATAGACTAACTAAACTGCATAATTGGCATGTTAAATAAGTACCAATTCCATATGAGGCTTAATTAGAATTTTTCACAGATCGACTGCAATTTTTGGGAAAAATGTGGGATGATCGTGGGCTTTGTCAACAGCCAAAAGTGATTTGCATAATCACTTAAAAAATTACAGTTGTATTATTGTTTAACCATTCAGCTATCTCTAGTTTCCCTAAATTCATCTGACCTTGGGCATGTGTGATGTTTGACAAGACTGACTAAAAAGAAGAATGCTAAAATGCTGACAATTTATTGAAGAATAAAACTGCCACTCCATTACTATTATGTAAATTGGATGTGTGATAGTCTGGGCTTTATTTGCTGTGTGTTATGGTGGAAGCTCTCACGTTAGGTACTTAATATCCCTTAACATTAGAGCTGAATGTCTTCTTCACCAAATGAAGTAGTTTTTATTTCCCTGAGTAAATCAAGCTGTTGTAGTTCGTAATTTTACTAAACAACGAGTTAAATGTGCGGCATACAAATAATAAATGCTTGAAATAATTAATGAAAGGTTTTATGGATCCCAACATGTAACAGTTTCCCGAACCAATATGACACACATACGATGACACACTTTAATGAAAACTAACTTGTACGTTATAGGTTGTTTTTCTTTCACCTATGCAGAAAATCTAATATGGGGCATGTTGTTATATCACCACATGTTGGAATCAACCCAATATAATTCTGGCTGTGAGTATCTGCATAACATTTTGAAACATTTAATCTGCATGTTAATTATGATCTTTAAAAAGCTTTTCCTCCACCTGAACCTCCATTATGTTCACAACCATCCAGTAATTTCTTTCAAATTCATCAGTGGTCTAAGATACACTTGTCCCTGGTAAACAAAAAAATAAGCTATTCAGTGTTCAGTCTGTAAAGGAGAGAATATTTGAAAAAGCAAAGAACATGAAAAAACTATTTGTGTCACCGTTGGTTACCAAAATGATGATAATAAAGATAATATTACATGAACAGCAAAGTACAGAATACACCATTCTCTTATAGGATGTATAACAAGTAAACACACTCACAACGCCAGCCTCTGGGTTCCTCTTTCGTCCGTTGCTGAATGTTGATGCAAGGGTGGAGGAGCAGCTCTCGTCATACAAGGCAGTGCGCCCATCATTGATGGCAGAGTTGATGGAGATTGTCCACATGCTTGAGGCATAGCCATCACAGTTGCAGTCGTCATAGCTACCACCATCACCTGATGCCCAGACATAGATGCTGCCTTTCCCTCCGCGCCCCTAAAACAATATTGTCATAATCTTTCTGAATGATAATGTCTCACAGCTGATTTCCCCCATTTGCATTGGTAAAATGATAATTGAGAACAAGATATTACAATGTGACTGTAATTATACAGCAGTAATGCAGTTGGTCTATATTGTCTTTCACATGCTTAAAAAATATGTTCCTTGGTGCATTTTTTAATTGCTCATGCACAAAAATCCAATCAGTTTTCTCTTGTCACCAGGTAGGGGTTTTCTAATTGTTCCCCTTCTAATTATTTTAGCCACTTTGGTCTTTCTCTGTGAAACAAACTAATCACACTCTCTTTTAATGAGATATGTCAGAGGTGTAATTACATTCCAAAAGAAGCTGAAAATTTGCCACGACTGCTTATGAGCAAATCTGGTGAACACAGACTTCATAGGAAAAGCAAAGGAGTCACAAAACATACAGTCCAATATCGAACAGACAATCAGTCCATAGATGGATAGACAGACGGACAGACGGACAGACGGACGGAGATAGATAGATAGATAGATAGATAGATAGATAGATAGATAGATAGA